CTGTGCCTATAAGAAGGGGTCATATCAGCAGGTGATGTTATAAGTAAAGAAAGGGTCAATAGAGACACTTTTTATAGTGCCTAATGGAAGGGGTCATATCAGCAGGTGATGTTATAAGTAAAGAAAGGGTCAATAGAAACACTTTCTATGGTGCTTTTAGGAAGGGGTCATATCAGCAGGTGATGTTTTAAGTAAAGAAATGGTCAATAGAGACACTTTCTACTGTGCCTATAAGAAAGGGTCATATCAGCAGGTGATGTTATAAGTAAAGAAAGGGTTAATAGAGACACTTTTTATAGTGCCTAAAGGAAGGGGTCATATTAGCAGGTGATGTTATAAGTAAAGAAAGGGTCAATAGAGACACTTTCTATAGTGCCTAAAGGAAGTGGTCATATCAGCAGCTGATGTTATCAGTAAAGAAAAGGGCAATATAGACACTTTCTATTATGCCTATATGAACGGGTCATATCAGCAGTTGGTGTTATAAGTAAAGAAAGGGTCAATAGAGACACTTCCTATAGTGCCTAAAGGAAGGGGTCATATCAGCAGGTGATGTTATCAGTAAAGAAAGGGTTAATAGAGACACTTTTTATAGTGCCTAAAGGAAGGGGTCATATTAGCAGGTGATGTTATAAGTAAAGAAAGGGTCAATAGAGACACTTCCTATAGTGCCTAAAGGAAGTGGTCATATCAGCAGCTGATGTTATCAGTAAAGAAAAGGGCAATATAGACACTTTCTATGATGCTTATAGGAAGGGGTCATATCAGCAGGTGATGTTCTAAGTAAAGAAAGGGTCTATAGAGACACTTTATATTGTGCCTATAGGAAGGGGTCATCTCAGCAGCTAATGTTATAAGTAAAGAAAGGGTCTATAGAGACACTTTCTATGATGCTTATAGGAAGGGGTCATATCAGCAGGTGATGTTATCAGTAAAGAAAGGGGCAATAGAGACACTCTTTTTTATGCCTATAGAACGGGGTCATATCAGCAGGTGATGTTATAAGTGAAGAAAGGGTCAATAGCGACTCTTTCTATGATGCTTATAGGAAGGGGTCATATCAGCAGGTGATGTTATAAGTAAAGAAAGGGTCAATAGAGACACTTTCTATTGTGCCTATAGGAAGGGGTCATATCAGCAGGTGATGTTATAAGTAAAGAAAGGGTCAATAGAGACACTTTCTACTGTGCCTAAAGGAAGGGGTCATACCAGCAGGTGATGTTATAAGTAAAGAAAGGGTCAATAGAGACACTTTCTATTGTGCCTAAACGAAGGGGTCATATTAGCAGCTGATGTTATAAGTAAAGAAAGGGTCTATAGAGACACTTTCTATGGTGCCCTAAGGAAGGGTTCATATCAGCAGGTGATGTTATAAGTAAAGAAAGGGTCAATAGAGACACTTTGTATTGTGCCTATAGGACGGGGTCATATCAGCAGGTGAGGTTATAAGTAAAGAAAGGGTCAATAGATATTTTCTTTATCGTGCCTATAGGAAGGGATTATATAAGCAGGTGATGTTTTAAGTAAAGAAAGGGTCAATAGAGACACTTTCCATGATTCCTATAACAAGGGGTCATATCAGCAGGTGATGTTTTAAGTAAAGAGAGGGTCAATAGAGACACTTTCTATTGTGCCTATAAGAAGGCGTCATATCAGCAGGTTATGTTATAAGTAAAGAAATGGTCAATATAGACACTTTCTTTGATGCCTATAGGACGGGGTCATATCAGCAGGTGATGTTATAAGAAAAGAAAGGGTCAATAGAGACACTTTTTATTATGCCTATAGGAAAGGGTCATATCAGCAGGTGATGTTATAAGTAAAGAAAGAGTCTATAGAGACACTTTCTATGGTGCCTTTAGGAATGGGTCATATCAGCAGGTGATGTTATAAGTAAAGAAAGGGTCAATAGAAAAATTTTCTATCGTGCTTTAAGGAAGGGGTCATATCAGCAGGTGATGTTTTAAGTAAAGAAATGGTCAATAGAGACACTTTCTACTGTGCCTATAAGAAGGGGTCATATCAGCAGGTGATGTTATAAGTAAAGAAAGGGTCAATAGAGACACTTTTTATAGTGCCTAATGGAAGGGGTCATATCAGCAGGTGATGTTATAAGTAAAGAAAGGGTCAATAGAAACACTTTCTATGGTGCTTTAAGGAAGGGGTCATATCAGCAGGTGATGTTTTAAGTAAAGAAATGGTCAATAGAGACACTTTCTACTGTGCCTAAAGGAAGGGGTCATATCAGCAGGTGATGTTATAAGTGAAGAAAGGGTCAATAGAGACACTTTCTATTGTGCCTATAGGAAGGAGTCATATCAGCAGGTGATGTTTAGGTAGAGATAGGGTCAATAGAGACACTTTCTATTGTGTCTATAAGAAGGGGTCATATCAACAGGTGATGTTCTAAGTAAAGAAAGGGTCTATAGAGACACTTTATATTGTGCCTATAGGAAGGGGTCATCTCAGCAGCTGATGTTATAAGTAAAGAAAGGGTCTATAGAGACACTTTATATTGTGCCAATAACAAGGGGTCATATCAGCAGGTGATGTTTTAAGTAAAGAAAGGGTCAATAGAGACACTTTCTATGATGCTTATAGGAAGGGGTCATATCAGCAGGTGATGTTATAAGTAAAGAAAGGGTCAATAGAGACACTTTCTATTGTGCCTATAGGAAGGGGTCATATCAGCAGGTGATGTTTTAAGTAAAGTAAGGGTCAATAGAGACACTTTCTATTAAGCCTATAGGAAGGCGTCATATCAGCAGGTCATGTTATAAGTCAGGAAAGGGTCAATAGAGACACTTTCTATAATGCCTATAGGAAGGAGTCATATCAGCAGGTAATGTAATAAATAAAGGGTCAATGGAGACACTTTCTATGGTGCCTATAGGAAGGGTTCATATCAGTAGGTGATGTTTTAAGAAAAGAGAGGGCCAATAGAGACACTTTCTATTGTGCTTATAGGAAGGGGTCATATCAGCAGTTGGTGTTTTAAGTAAAGAAAGGGTCAATAGAGATACTTTCTATGATGCTTATAGGAAGTGGTCATATCAGCAGGTGATGTTCTAAGTAAAGAAAGGGTCTATAGAGACACTTTATATTTTGCCTATAGGAAGGGGTCATCTCAGCAGCTAATGTTATAAGTAAAGAAAGGGTCTATAGAGACACTTTATATTGTGCCTATAACAAGGGGTCATATCAGCAGGTGATGTTTTAAGTAAAGAAAGGGTCAATAGAGACACTTTCTATGATGCTTATAGGAAGGGGTCATATCAGCAGGTGATGTTATAAGTAAAGAAAGGGTCAATAGAGACACTTTCTATTGTGCCTATAGGAAGGGGTCATATCAGCAGGTGATGTTATAAGTAAAGAAAGGGTCAATAGAGACACTTTCTATGATGCTTATAGGAAGGGGTCATATCAGCAGGTGATGTTATCAGTAAAGAAAGGGGCAATAGAGACACTCTTTTTTATGCCTATAGAACGGGGTCATATCAGCAGGTGATGTTATAAGTGAAGAAAGGGTCAATAGCGACTCTTTCTATGATGCTTATAGGAAGGGGTCATATCAGCAGGTGATGTTATAAGTAAAGAAAGGGTCAATAGAGACACTTTCTATTGTGCCTATAGGAAGGGGTCATATCAGCAGGTGATGTTATAAGTAAAGAAAGGGTCAATAGAGACACTTTCTACTGTGCCTAAAGGAAGGGGTCATATCAGCAGGTGATGTTATAAGTAAAGAAAGGGTCAATAGAGACACTTCCTATAGTGCCTAAAGGAAGGGGTCATATCAGCAGGTGATGTTATCAGTAAAGAAAGGGTTAATAGAGACTTTTTATAGTGCCTAAAGGAAGGGGTCATATCAGCAGGTGATGTTATAAGTAAAGAAAGGGTCAATAGAGACACTTCCTAAAGTGCCTAAAGGAAGGGGTCATATCAGCAGGTGATGTTAAAAGTGAAGAAAGGGTCAATAGAGACACTTTCTATTATGCCTATATGAACGGGTCATATCAGCAAGTGATGTTATAAGTAAAGAAAGGGTCAATAGAGATACTTTCTATGATGCTTATAGGAAGGGGTCATATCAGCAGACACTGGACGTTAAGCAACAAACAATCAATCAATCATATCAGCAGGTGATGTTATAAGTAAAGAAAGGGTCAATAGAGACACTTTCTATGGTGCCCTAAGGAAGGGTTCATATCAGCAGGTGATGTTATAAGTAAAGAAAGGGTCAATAGAGACACTTTGTATTGTGCCTATAGGACGGGGTCATATCAGCAGGTGAGGTTATAAGTAAAGAAAGGGTCAATAGATATTTTCTTTATCGTGCCTATAGGAAGGGATTATATCAGCAGGTGATGTTTTAAGTAAAGAAAGGGTCAATAGAGACACTTTCCATGATTCCTATAACAAGGGGTCATATCAGCAGGTGATGTTTTAAGTAAAGAGAGGGTCAATAGAGACACTTTCTATTGTGCCTATAAGAAGGGGTCATATCAGCAGGTTATGTTATAAGTAAAGAAATGGTCAATATAGACACTTTCTTTGATGCCTATAGGACGGGGTCATATCAGCAGGTGATGTTATAAGAAAAGAAAGGGTCAATAGAGACACTTTCTATTATGCCTATAGGAAAGGGTCATATCAGCAGGTGATGTTATAAGTAAAGAAAGAGTCTATAGAGACACTTTCTATGGTACCTTTAGGAATGGGTCATATCAGCAGGTGATGTTATAAGTAAAGAAAGGGTCAATAGAAACACTTTCTATGGTGTTTTAAGGAAGGGGTCATATCAGCAGGTGATGTTTTAAGTAAAGAAATGGTCAATAGAGACACTTTCTACTGTGCCTATAAGAAAGGGTCATATCAGCAGGTGATGTTATAAGTAAAGAAAGGGTCAATAGAGACACTTTTTATAGTGCCTAATGGAAGGGGTCATATCAGCAGGTGATGTTATAAGTAAAGAAAGGGTCAATAGAAACACTTTCTATGGTGCTTTTAGGAAGGGGTCATATCAGCAGGTGATGTTTTAAGTAAAGAAATGGTCAATAGAGACACTTTCTACTGTGCCTATAAGAAAGGGTCATATCAGCAGGTGATGTTATAAGTAAAGAAAGGGTCAATAGAGACACTTTTTATAGTGCCTAAAGGAAGGGGTCATATCAGCAGGTGATGTTATCAGTAAAGAAAGGGGCAATAGAGACACTTTATTTGATGCCTATAGGACGGGGTCATATCAGCAGGTGATGTTATAAGTGAAGAAAGGGTCAATAGAGACACTTTCTATTATGCCTATAGGAAGGGGTCATATCAGCAGGTGATGTTATAAGTAAAGAAAGAGTCCATAGAGACACTTTCTATGGTGCCTTTAGGAAGGGGTCATATTAGCAGGTGATGTTATAAGTAAAGAAAGGGTCAATAGAAACACTTTCTATGGTGCTTTAATGAAGGGGTCTTTTAGCAGGTGATGTTTTAAGTAAAGAAATGGTCAATAGAGACACTTTCTACTGTGCCTATAAGAAGGGGTCATATCAACAGGTGATGTTATAAGTAAAGAAAGGGTTAATAGAGACACTTTTTATAGTGACTATATGAACGGGTCATATCAGCAGGTGATGTTATAAGTAAAGAAAGGGTCAATAGAGATACTTTCTATGATGCTTATAGGAAGGGGTCATATCAGCAGGTGATGTTATAAGTAAAGAAAGAGTCAATAGAGACACTTTCTATTGTGCCTATAAGAAGGGGTCATATCAGCAGGTGATGTTATAAGTAAAGAGAGGGTCAATAATGACACTTTCTATTGGGCCTATAAGTAGGGGTCATATCAGCAAGAGATGTTTTAAGTAAAGAAATGGTCAATAGAGACACTTTCTATTGTGCCTATAGGAAGGAGTCATATCAGCAGGTGATGTTTAGGTAGAGATAGGGTCAATAGAGACACTTTCTATTGTGCCTATAGGAAGGAGTCATATCAGCAGGTGATGTTTAGGTAGAGATAGGGTCAATAGAGACACTTTCTATTGTGTCTATAAGAAGGGGTCATATCAACAGGTGATGTTCTAAGTAAAGAAAGGGTCTATAGAGACACTTTATATTGTGCCTATAGGAAGGGGTCATCTCAGCAGCTGATGTTATAAGTAAAGAAAGGGTCTATAGAGACACTTTATATTGTGCCAATAACAAGGGGTCATATCAGCAGGTGATGTTTTAAGTAAAGAAAGGGCCAATAGAGACACTTCCTATAGTGCCTAAAGGAAGGGGTCATATAAGCAGGTGATGTTATCAGTAAAGAAAAGGGCAATAGAGACACTTTTTATGCCTATAGAACGGGGTCATATCAGCAGGTGATGTTATAAGTGAAGAAAGGGTCAATAGAGACGCTTTGTATGATGCGTATAGGAAGGGGTCATATCAGCAGGTGATGCTATAAGTAAAGAAAGGGTCTATAGAGACACTTTCTATGGTGCCTATAGGAAGGGGTCATATCAGCAGGTGATGTTATAAGTAAAGAAAGGGTCAATAGAGACACTTTCTATTGTGTCTATAGGACGGGGTCATATCAGCAGGTGATGTTATAAGTAAAGAAAGGGTCAATAGAGACACTTTCTGTTATGTCTATAGGAAGGGGTCATACTAGCAGGTATGTTATAAGTAAAGAAAGGGTCAATAGAGACACTTTCTATGAGGCTTATAGGAAGGGGTCATATCAGCAGGTGATGTTATAAGTAAAGATAGGGTCAATAGAGACACTTTCTATTGTGCCTATAAGAAGGGTCATATCAGCAGGTGATGTTATAATTAAAGAAAGGGTCTATGGAGACACTTTCTATGGTGCCTTTAGGAAGGGGTCATATTAGCAGATGATGTTTTATGTAAAGAAAGGGTCAATAGAGACACTTTCTATTGTGCCTATAGGAAGGGTTAATATCAGCAGGTGATGTTTTAAGTAAAGAAATGGTCAATAGAGACACTTTCTATTGTGCCTATGGGAAGGGTTAATATCAGCAGGTGATGTTTTAAGTAAAGAAAGGGTCAATAGAGACACTTTCTATTGTGCCTATAGGAAGGGTTAATATCAGCAGGTGTTGTTTTAAGTAAGGAAATGGTCAATAGACACTTTCTATAGTGCCTATAAGAAGGGGTCATATCAGCAGTTGATGTCCTAAGTAAAGAAAGGGTCAATAGAGACGCTTTCTATGATGCCTATAAGAAGGGGTCATATCAGCAGGTGATGTTAATAGTAAGGAAAGGGTCAATAGAGACATTTTCTATTCTGCCTATAGGAAGTGGTAATATCAGCAGGTGATGTTATAACTAAAGAGAGGGTCAAAAGAGACACTTTCTATGGTGCCTATAGGAAGGGGTCATATCAGCAGGTGATGTTATAACTAAAGAGAGGGTCAAAAGAGACACTTTCTATGGTGCCTATAGGAAGGGGTCATATCAGCAGGTGATGTCCCAAGTAAAGAAATGGGCAATAGAAACACTTTCTTTGATGCCTATGAGAAGGAGTCATATCAGCATATGATGTCCTAAGTAAAGAAAGGATCAATAGAGACACTTCCTATGATGCTTATAGGAAGGGGTCATATCAGCAGGTGATGTTATAAGTAAAGAAAGGGTCAATAGAGACACTTTCTATGATGCTTATAGGAAGGGGTCATATCAGCAGGTGATGTTATAAGTAAAGAAAGGGTTTATAGAGACACTTTCTATGGTGCCTTGACGAAGTGTCTCTATAGACCCTTTTGGGTGATGTCCCAAGTGAAGAAAGGGGCAATAAAAACACTTTCTTTGATGCCTATGAGAAGGAGTCATATCAGCATATGATGTCTTAAGTAAAGAAAGGGTCAATAGAGACACTTTCTATGATGCCTATAGGAAGGGGTAATATCGGCAGTTGACATTATAAGTAATGAAAGGCTCACTAGAGACACTTTCTATTGTGTCTTTAGGAAGGGGTCGTATCGGCTGGTGATGTTTTAAGTAAAGAAAGGGTCAATAGAGATAATTTCTGTAGTGCCTATTGGAAGGGATCATATCAGCAGGTGATGTGATAAGTAAAGAAAGGGTCAATAGAGACATTTTTTATGGTGCCTATAAGAAGGGATCATATCAGCAGGAGATATTTTAAGTAAAGAGAGGGTCAATAGAGACACTTTCTTTTGTGTCATGGAATGGGTCACATCAGCAGGTGATGTTTTAAGTAAAGAAAGGGTCAATAGAGATAATTTCTGTAGTGCCTATAGGAAGTGGTCATATCAGCAGGTGATGTTATAAGCAAAGAGAGAGTCAATAGAGACTCTTTCTATTGACCCTCTCTTTACTTTAAACATCACCTGCTGATATGACCCCTTCCTATAGGAAAATAGAAAGTGTCTCTATTGGCCCTCTCTTTTCTTTAAACATCACCTACTGATATGAACCCTTCCTATAGGCACCATAGAAAGTGTCTCCATTGAACCTTTCTTTATTTATTACATCATCTGCTGATATGACCCCTTCCTATAGGCATCATAGAAAGTGTCTCTATTGACCCTTTCTTTAATTAGGACATCACCTGCTGATATGAATTTTCCTATAGGCACCATAGAAAGTGTCTCTTTTGACCCTCTTTTTGTTTAGGACATCACCTGCTGATATGACCCCTTCTTAAAGGCACAATAGAAAGTGTCTCTTTTGACCCTCTCTTTAGTTATAACATCACCTGCTGATATGTCCCCTTCCTATAGGCACAATAGAAAGTGTCTCTATTGACCCTCTCTTTACTTATAACATGATCTGCTGATATGACACCTTCCTATAGGCTTAATAGAAAGTGTCTCTATTGACCCTTTCTTTACTTAAAACATCACCTGCTGAAGTGACCCCTTCTTATAGGTACAATAGAAAGTGTCTCTATTGACACTTTCTTTACTTAGGGCATCACCTGCTAATATGACCCCTTCTTATAGGCACCATAAAAAGTGTCTCTTTTGACCCTCTTTTTACTTATAACTTCACCTGCTGATATGACACCTTCCTATAGGCACAATAGAAAGTGTCTCTATTGACCCTCTCTTTACTTATAACATGACCTGCTGATATTACACCTTCCTATAGTCTTAATAGAAGTGTCTCTATTGACCCTTTCTTTACTTAAAACATACCTGCTGAAATGACCCCTTCTTATAGGCACAATAGAAAGTGTCTCTATTGACACTTTCTTTACTTAGGGCATAACCTGCTGATATCACCCCTTCTTATAGGCACCATAGAAAGTGTCTCTTTTGACCCTCTCTTTAGTTATAACATCACCTGCTGATATGACCCCTTCCAATAGGCACAATAGAAAGTGTCTCTATTGACCCTCTCTTTACTTATAACATCACATGCTGATATGAAACTTTCTTATAGGCACAGTAGAAAGTGTCTCTATTGACCCTTTCTTTACTTAGGACATCACCTGCTGATATGACCCGTTCTTATAGGCACCATAGAAAGTATCTCTTTTGACCCTCTCTTTAGTTATAACATCACCTGCTGATATGACCCCTTCCTATAGGCACAATAGAAAGTGTCTCTGTTGACCCTCTCTTTACTTATAACATCACCTGCTGATATGACCCCTTCCTATAAGCACAATAGAAAGTGTCTCTATTGGCCCTCTCTTTTCTTAAAACATCACCTACTGATATGAACCCTTCCTATAGGCACCATAGAAAGTGTCTCCATTGACCCTTTCTTTATTTTTTACACCACCTGCTGATATGACCCCTTCCTATAGGCATCATAGAAAGTGTCTCTATTGACCCTCTCTTTACTTATAACATGACCTGCTGAAATGACACCTTCCTATAGGCTTAATAGAAAGTGTCTCTATTGACCCTTTCTTTACTTAAAACATGACCTGCTGAAATGACCCCTTCTTATAGGCACAATAGAAAGTGTCTCTATTGACACTTTCTTTACTTAGGGTATCACCTGCTGATATGACCCCTTCTTATAGGCACAATAGAAAGTATCTCTTTTGACCCTCTCTTTAGTTATAACATCACCTGCTGATATGACCCCTTCCTATAGGCACAATAGAAAATGTCTCTATTGATCCTCTCTTTACTAATAACATCACCTGCTGATTGGACACCTTCCTATAGGCACAATAGAAAGTGTCTGTATTGACCCTTTCTTTACATAGGACATCACCTGCTGATATGACCCCTTCCTATAGGCACAATAGAAAGTGTCTCTATTGACCCTCTCTTTACTTATAACATCACCTACTGATATGACACCTTCCTATAGGCACAATAGAAAGTGTCTCTATTGGCCCTCTCTTTACTTATAACATCACCTACTGATATGACACCTTCCTATAGGCACAATAGAAAGTGTCTCTATTGGCCCTCTCTTTACTTAAAACATCACCTGCTGATATGACCCCTTCCTATGGGCACCATAGAAAGTGTCTCCATTGACCCTTTCTTTATTTATTACATCAACTGCTGATATGACCCCTTCCTATAGGCATCATAGAAAGTGTCTCTATTGACCCTTTCTTTACTTAGGACATCACCTGCTGATATGACCTTTCCTATAGGCACCATAGAAAGTGTCTCTTTTGACCCTCTCTTTACTTATAACATCACCTGCTGATATGACCCCTTCCTATAGGCAGAATAGAAATTGTCTCCATTGACCCTTTCTTTACTTATAACATCACCTGCTGATATGACACCTTCCTATAGGCACAATAGAAAGTGTCTCTATTGACCCTCTCTTTACTTTTAACATCACCTGCTGGTATGACCCCTTCCTATAGGCACCATAGAAAGTGTCTTCATTGACCCTTTCTTTATTTATTACATCACCTGCCGATATTACCCCTTCCTATAGGCACAATAGTAAGTGTCTCTATTGACCCTTTCTTTACTTAAAACATCACCTGCTGATATGACCCATTCCTATAGGCACCATGGAAAGTGTCTCTATAGACCCTTTCTTTACTCATATGACCTGCTGATATGACCCCTTCTTATAGGCACAGTAGAAAGTGTCTCTATTGACCCTTTCTTTACTTAGGACATCACCTGCTGATATGACCCCTTCTTATAGGCACCATAGAAACTGTCTCTTTTGACCCTCTCTTTAGTTATAACATCACCTGCTGATATGACCCCTTCCTATAGGCACAATAGAAAGTGTCTTTATTGACCCTCTCTTTACTTATAACATCACCTGCTGATATGACCCCTTCCTATAAGCACAATAGAAAGTGTCTCTTTTGGCCCTCTCTTTTCTTAAAACATCACCTACTGATATGAACCCTTCCTATAGGCACCATAGAAAGTGTCTCCATTGACCCTTTATTTATTACATTACCTGCTGATATGACTCCTTCCTATAGGCATTATAGAAAGTGTCTCTATTGACCCTTTCCTGACTTATAACATGACCTGCTGATATGACGCCTTCCTATAGGCTTAATAGAAAGTGTCTCTATTGACCCTTTCTTGACTTAAAACATCACCTGCTGATATGACCCCTTCTTATAGGCACAATAGAAAGTGTCTCTATTGACACTTTCTTTACTTAGGGGATCACCTGCTGATATGACACCTTCCTATAGGCACAATAGAAAGTGTCTCTATTGACCCTTTCTTTACTTAAAACATCACCTGCTGATATGACCCCTTCTTATAGGCACAATAGAAAGTGTCTCTATTGACCCTCTCTGTACTTATAACATCACCTGCTGATATGACCCCTTCCTATAGGCACAATAGAAAGTGTCTCTATTGACCCTTTCTTTACTTAGGACATTACCTACTGGTATGACCTTTCCTATAGGCAAAACCATAGAAAGTGTCTCTTTTGACCCTCTCTTTAGTTATAACATCACCTGCTGATATGACCCTTTACTATAGGCACAATAGAAAGTGTCTCTATTGACCCTCTCTTTATTTATAATATCACCTGCTGATATGACACCTTCCTATAGGCACAATAGAAAGTGTCTCTATGTGCCCTCTCTTTACTTAAAACATCACCTGCTGATATGACCCCTTCCTATAGGCACCATAGAAAGTGTTCAAATGACCCTTTCTTTATTTATTACATCACCTGCTGATATGACCCCTTCCTATAGGCATCATAGAAAGGGTCTCTATTGACCCTTTCTTTACTTAGGACATCACCTGCTGATATGACCTTTCCTATAGGCACCATAGAAAGTGTCTCGTTTGACCCTCTCTTTACTTATAACATCACCTGCTGATATGACCCCTTCCTATAGGCACAATAGAAAGTGTCTTAATTGACCCTCTCTTTACTTATAACATCACCTGCTGATATGACCCCTTCCTATAGGCACAATAGAAAGTGTTTCTATTGACCCTTTCTTTACTGATAACATCACCTGCTGATATGACCCCTTCCTATAGGCACAATAGAAAGTGTCTCTATTGACCTTCTCTTTACTTTTAACATCACCCAACAGACACTTTCTATGGTGCCTATAGCAAGGTGTCATATCAGCAGGTGATGTTTTAAGTAAAGAAAGGGTCAATAGAGACACTTCCTATTGTTCCTATAGGAAGGGGTCATATCAGCAGGTGATGTTATAAGTAAAGAAAGGGGCGATAGAGACACTTTTTATGGTGCCTTTAAGAAGGATCATATCAGCAAGAGATGGTATATTAAGTTAAGAAAGGGGCATAGAGACATTTTCTTTGATGCCTACAAGAAGGGGTCATATCAGCAAGAGATGTTATAAGTAAAGAAAAGGTCAATAGGGACACTTTCTTTGATGCCTTTAGGAAGGGGTCATATCAGCTGGTGATGTTATAAGTAAAGAAATTTTCGATAGATATTTTCTTTATGGTGCCTATCGGAAGGGGTCATATCAGCAGTTGATGTCCTAAGTAAAGAAAGGGTCAATAGAGCCACTTTCTATGGTGCCTATAGGACGGGGTCATATCAACCGGTGATGTTATATGTAAAGAAAGGGTCAATAGAGACACTTTTTATGGTGCCTTTAGGGAAATTTATATCAGCAGTTGATGTTATAAGTAAAGAAAGGTGACTCAGGGACAGAAAATATGATCACTTTTGTCTTTGAACCGAAAGTAAAGTCCCTTATAAAGTTGCATTAGTTTTGGTCATGTTGGGTGATAAATACGCAGCCACGTCTGGTAAAAAAAAGATTTCTCATCCTTTGTCTCGTAAAGAGATAGAGTGCCAGGCTCTCTGCACGTTAAAGATCCTTGAAAGAAATCCTCCTTGAAGGGTCTGTAGGCGGGCTGTTGCAAGGCTAAATTTCAATTTCTCTATCCAGTATACCCTCATTTTCCAGTGGTATTTCAAATTTCTCGACATTCATTTCGATTGAAGACCTTCCGTTTTATTCATTATTAAAATTGTTATCACCATTAGCATGCATGAAATATTTGACACTGGACGTAAAACGAACTACAATCAATAAATTTAATATTGCTCTTAATATCAGTGTAAATTAAATATTCTTCTTCTGCTAGTGCTATGGGGGTATATGTTGAATAATTGAAAAATGAGTAATTGATAAAGTTAATCTTGGTACACAAAGTTGAAGCAAATTAACACTAGTGATATAAAGGTTCCTACAGAAGCGTATATCGGTCAACTATAATAATATCAACAGTTTAATTAAATTTGTTTAATATTATAAAGTAACACCAAAAGAAAACTAAAGCAACACTATAATTAATAACGACGTATTTGTTATATAATATTCCTATATTTTCATCTTTTAAGGCATTAATTATCGTAAAATAACACAAGTTTACATCGAAATTACTAATAACGCTTGACCGATATACGCTTCCGTAGGTACCTCCATCAAAATATATGTGATTAAAATAAGTAATAAAATTGTATGTATTTATACAAATTATAAAATACATTTACACCATGTTTACATTGAAAGTATAAGGATACCCTACATTTATCATGATAATCATGATCATCATAAACGTAGTCAAATTCCAGAATGACTACCTCCCCCTTTTTATCCCTGGTAAATTACTGAAATATATCGTTTTGCATTAATCATCAAATCATTGTGAAATTATATTAATTGTATGCTTAACTTCTATTAGTGGTGTCCAAACAATAATATTTTAAGAAAAAAATAACCTAACAGTCATATAAGTTATTTTCCTGCTACATGTATAAGTTTAAATAATTTCATTTCACTATTTTTTTTTAACTTTGCAAGATTAATAAATTATTGTTTTCCAAATTAATATATGTATTCAAGGATTTGTATAGTACGACCATACAAATCGTTGATGTATTCTTATTGTGAACTATAAAAAAAGGCAAAATGTTCAACAGTGTATTCAAAATTATACAAACCATTTAAATAATACTTTCCTGCGATTTTACATAATTAATTTCTAGCTGTCATTTATCTTAACTTGATTAATAAAGTAACATGACATTAATTTTCAATTTAAAATCGGTTAATGTACAAAGGGAAGCAACTTTAGTTGTTCTACATAGGGGCAAAATTGGCAGGTTAATGGTGCAAAATCAGCAGGTGCCGTATCAGCAGGTGAGTGATTTAGACCCGTCTCCACATTATAACCCTATCCACAAAAATTTAACAAAAAGGTATTGTTATAAGCAACACGAAACCGAATTAAAACTAGGTGACCACAATCAGTACATCCGTCTATTTTACTTCCGTTTTTAGTTAGACTTTCTGGAAATGATGCACAGTTGCATGAGATATGCCATATGCATTGGATTTATATCAACAGCTTAGTGATTGCTGCTTAGACTATCGAGACAATTTTCATTTTCCGAAATTAATACTAAATACGGAAGTTAGACATGGATGTACCGATTATGACATAAGTTTAATTCTACACACTTGAATTATTGATATTTTTATTTTTTATAAATTATTTTTATAGTTCACGTTGATGACTGACTGAATATGGAGGACAAAAATGTAAGTATGTCGTTCTATATATATATTTAAATGTATAAAAGAGTTCATATGCGGAAGAAAACCTTGAAGTTGATTGAAACAAATTACGTCGTCTGCAAAATATATCTAAGGGTCCTTACTGTGTGTACCAATGTCGACTGGTTCCTACCATAAATGTGATTCATATGACCCCTTAGCTTATCGATGACGCAGACAAGACCAACAACAATATATTTAGACCGTGAAATGGAACTCTTCCACCGTCTGTGATCTATCAGGTCTAACACATGTCTATTCACAATTTAAATGTCACTTGTTGCATGCAATATTGTTGTAAATATGTTTTTTGGTACTATTTGTAATTGTTCACGTAACGGTCTATAATTTAACTGAAGGAGAAGGACTAAACTCCTCATTTTTCATAGAGTTCCTATTTTTTTCAGTAAAAAGGTAACACTGATATTTGTGTGTGAAAATATCTAGTTCACTATTATTCATTGCACCCATATTTTGTAATAGTCGATAGAAAAAGGGGCAAAGTTAGGCTCCCGAAGAAGATATTTTTTGACATTGGCCTAATATTGTATATATATTTATTACTCTCACGGTGACGGAGATCAATCATGATTAAATACTCAGTGTTTTCATGTATCTATCTATTGCTCTAAATATTCTGCATTGCAGTATTTTGCTGGGTCACTGCAAATAACCCACAATGGTTGTTTTTAAAAACATCTAGCGCATCCGTAATTGGGTTTATAAGATCAATATAAGCCATTTGTTGTTGTCATTATTTGACTGAATAACAAAAAGGTTGAAAAATATTATCTATATATTGAACTACATAAATCGCAATACTGATACATTAGGAGTCTCTTTAAGTGAATATGATTCCTCTTTGTAATGTTTTATACACAGTGTAAACAGTGGCGGATCCAGGGGGGGGGGGGGGGGGGGGGGGGGGGTTCCAGGGGTTGGAACTCCCCCTCTTTTGACGATCAATGCTTTTGAATGGGGACATATGGTTGGAAACCCCCCCCCCCCCCTTTTATCCTGGGTTGGAACCCCCCTTTTAAAAATGGCTGGGTCCGCCCCTGGTAAATAATTAACTATATTTCATAATTTGTTTGACTTGAAAGGATGTATTTTTTTCATGTTATTTTTATATGAGTCACCCTTTCATTATTTTTACTATGATAAGGACATATACAACTATCCAGACGATGAAGGTCTCACTCACAAAAGTCTTATTTATGAAATCGTTGATGTAGACTGTCTTGCTACTATAAAGGGGCATCTCAGAAAAACTGACAGAAAGTTACTGTGCAAAGAGAGATAACTAAAATGTTGCAATAAATTGTCACAGACATTAAAATTGTTTATATGACATTAAAATATTTGAACTGACTTGATTTGCTAAAATTTTAATTGTTGGCACAACACTTGTTGATGAAAAAGAGAGGCGAAAGATACCAAAGGGACATTCAAACTCATAAGTCTAAAATAAACTGACAATGCCATGGCTAAAAAAGAAAAAGACCAACAGACAAGCAATAGTACACAAAACACAACATAGAAAATTAAAGACTGAAATGTCTCTGTCTCTCTCTCTCTTCATATTATAAAACGTACACTAATATTCACTAACTAGTGTACTGTCGTGTTTTGTATACATGCCCCGAATAGGCTCTTAATATGCTTAATTGGTTCTATACAATATGGTTCCCCTTTGAATTGCCGTGATTGAATTAGTTCTCCATTTTTCTCCCTGGTAGCTATCTTTAATTTCTTCCTTTCCTAATAGAAAAAACAAAGGATATGGGTATCCATCCACGACACAAAATCAGTGCATACACAGCAAAAAACACACAAAAAGCAAAGGAACAGCTACTTCTTTCAAGTCCCCGTTTCCCCTTCAGCTCCTTTCTCCTATGTGATAAGGAAACTGAAATTTTGACATTTGTTCACAATATGAATTAATATTTATTTCCTTATTGAGAGTTCAACACTTGCTTCTATGCAATTCATTACCTGCTGTGTTCATTTAATTCAAATTTTTATTTTAAAAAAGTATTTAAAAGAGATTAAGGCCATGTATAGTACCTCCTATTTCCCAGTTCCGCAACCATGGAAAGAAATACAGACCCTTAGAAATCACCAAATTCCTAAATCATCTGTTCATGTACATTCGCTAACTCTTAAACTTGAGAGAATGTCAAAAGTTGAAATGAAAACAGAGTTTCCCCTGAAATTGATAGTCGACTGTTACAGATATAAACAACAAAAAGAAAACACAAAATACAACACTGAAAACTACACAAAAAGCAACAGAAACCCCTTTCAAACAAAACCAAGGATGAGGCTCCGGTGCTCCTAGAAGGTAAGCATTAGTGGCACCCGTCTTGTTGCTCATGGGAAGTTAGAATTCTATGAAATCGCTCTCGGTGATGTCACAATCAGGGGAAAGAAAGACAAATATATCTTGTGTCATGTGTATCATAAATATATCCTAACGGTCAATCAAATCATGGTGATGTCCTTAAACTATGCCTCGACTGTACTATACTAAATAGTTATACTATATAACTATACACTCTTTACGTGACACTGATGAAATATTGCCCAAAAGGAAAGGAAAGATTAAAATCGGAAAATTGAAGTCATACGACCCTCATTGTCAATTTCTAAATGTGAGTCAAGATATGAAGCAGAAGTAGCTGTAAGTTGTCCTATTTATCAAGTTCAATGGGAAATTTGCGATCAATATAGTCGCCAAACTTTGAATGTTTGAATAGGAAGAAACCATCTATAAGGTGAAACGTAAAGCTATACAAGATTATAGATATATATATATATAGATATCAGAATTAAAGAAAATTGATTCAGGTCAAGCTAAGGTCAAATGATAAACATACGAATTTTCTTATGATAATGTGAGGGGAATATATGTTTGCCGTAAAAGGTTGACCACAAAAATAAAAGAACAGACATTTGACTTTGATCATCTTTTAAAGTGATGTATTTTTAATGTTAATGAAGTGTTTGAGTCATCGAACAAACATCATAGCATTAAGGGTAAAAAAACACCAAAATAATGAATTTTTCATCTCATTTTCAGAGCAATACATTTCTCTTCAGTGCTCAGCTTTATAGTACTAGAAGATTAGATCTTATGATAAAATGGCCGACTAATCTAACCATAGACGTTTTGTACATTTTCATTGTTGATACAGCATCTGGAGCAAGCGTAGCGGTTTTCCTAAATCCATGCGAGAAGAAATTTTGTTCTCCACTTGAATTTTCTCTCGGGATTACAAAGTGCAATATTTGTATCTACGGCCTTGTAATCAGAGAGACGGAAGATGGAAGGTTTTATCAACTGTGTAGTCATTCAAAAAGGAAATTAAAAGGTTTAAAAGGTATTTCAAAACAGTAGAGTTAATTTCCAATGTCTTTCACCTATCGGGTCAAAAATTAAAAGTTTTCAAATCCTACCGGAAATTTAATATATGGATGTCTACACATACATAAATTCTTAAACAAAATGTTTCAGAATTTTACATATTTCTATTAAATCAAAAAGTTATTCAGTGCTACATGTTGCTGTTGAAGGTATTTTGATTCAAAATTGCAAATTTTACATGTTTTTGTCAAATTTTGAAACAAGGACATCACTAACCAACATGTATATCCCGAAAGACAAAAAACATCTTTACTTCCAACATAATTTTGCTTTTGCTTAACGATGTCCTTCTTTTTGGATATGCCAAAATCTCTCAAAATTGTGGTATCTGGCATTTTTCAAGCGTATATAATTTGATGACCTGTTTAGACATAATCCACAATATATAGGAACCTTAACCGTTAACGTACCTATATTTGGCTATTATGAATTTAAGTCAAGATTGAAACACTTTTTGAAAATGGCCCTGGTGTTAAATAAATTCAGGGGAAATTCCGCTTACTCCTTAAAAGATTTTAAAAGAGTATCATACACTACAAAGTCATTGTGCACATGTGAACTATGTACACTATGTGTATATATAAATTCTGAACCATTTAAGTGACTTTTACCTGTTCATTTTGTTGTATTATTACGTATTTTAAATGGGAGAATGTGGGGCGATTCATATTGTAAATACACTTGTATAAAAGCAGTAGGTAGTAGTGTGGTTGACTATGTTATCATGTCGGAAGACTTGATTGAAGATACTTTATTTTTTCATGTTGGTGATTTTTTATCAACTCTGTCAGACTGTCACTGTAAACTGACATTTGGCCTGTTAGCTAGTTACTCACATAAAGCTAAGGAGCAAGCCAATACTATTTTATTTCCAGGAAAATATATATGGTCAGAAACCTCTACACAAAAACTTCAAGATACTTTATGCAAGCCAATTATTAGAAACAGTATCAAAAAATTTTTAGACACAAAATTTAATCCAGAGGACTATATTGAAAAGGAAGCTAATGAATGTTTTGATATAATAGATAATGCTGCCAGTAAATGTTTAATATTCCGTAAAACCAAGAAAAAAGTTGCACGTAAATACAAAAACAAAAAATGGTTTGACAAAGACCTGGTACAAAAACGTAAAAGCCTTATTTCTAAAGGTGAGCTGTTATCAAAATTCCCCTGGGACCCAATTATAAAAGGGTCTTACTATAAATGTTATAGGGAGTATAATAAGCTACGTAAATATAAACAAAGGAAATTTAAACAAAACATTCTTGACAGTCTGGATAATCTAAGGGATAATAATCCAAAGAGTTATTGGAATCTCATCAAAGAATTAAAAGAAGACAATTCGGATGGTCCAGAACATTCTATTCAAACTAACGTCTGGTTTTCATATTTTCAATCTTTATATCTCAACTCTGACAAATTTAAAGACAGATTAGAGGAAATTAACAAGAAAGTAAAAAATTTAGAAAAAAATCCAACTTTTTGTGGACTGGATTACAAAATAACCCTAAAAGAAATTTTGGATGCTATAAATAAACTAAAGAATAATAAAGCTGCAGGACTAGATGGTATCCCAAACGAGATATTGAAATCAGGGGGTAGTATATTTGCACCGGTTTTGCAGAAACTTTTTAACTTGATATTCTGCTCTGGAACATACCCTCGCAAATGGTCATTGTCTTATTTATGTCCAATTTTTAAAGCAGGGAGTCATAGTAAACCTGAAAATTACAGAGGCATAGCAATTAATTCATGCATTGGAAAATTATTTAACAGTATTCTTAATAAAAGACTTGACATTCATCTTGATAAAAATAATATAATTCATCCATGTCAGGTTGGTTTTTCAAAAAAGAGTAGAACATCTGACCATATCTTTGTTTTAAAAACCATATTAGATAAATATACTAACAAAAAAGGGGGGAAATTTATGCTTGCTTTGTGGACTTTAAAAAGGCTTTTGATAGGGTCATACACTGTGGTATTAGATACAAGTTATTGGAAAATAACATATCTGGAAAATTTTATGCTATTTTAAAAGATATGTACAGAAAAAATCAAATGTCAGTGAAAGTGGGTAATGTACTAACGCCATCATTCAGCTCGATAGTTGGGGTAAGGCAAGGGGATGTTCTAAGCCCAAATTTATTTAAGCTTTTCATTAACGATATGCCTCCAAGATTTGAGTCGAGTCCAGATGCTGTTTATATCAATGAGCGTAGAATTGATTGTCTTATGTACGCCGATGACATTATTATATTATCAAACACTAAACAGGGTCTTCAAAACCGACTTGATAAACTGCACACTTATTGTATTGATTGGTGTCTAGATGTAAACTTGTCCAAAACAAAAGTTTTAATTTTTAACAAGCCTGGAAAATTTTTGAAGGAATCACTTTGTTTAGATAATGAGGCTATAGAATGTGTTAACAGATATAAATATTTAGGGATAGTCTTTACTTCTAGTGGTCTTTTTCAGCAGGAGAAAGAAGAGCTTTTCAAAAAGTCCTTAAAGGCAAAATTTAAACTACAAAAATCCATGTCAGCTTGTAATCCAAGTATTGATACTACAATCCATTTATATGATCACACAATAAAACCAATTTTATTATATTGTAGTGAAATTTGGGGTACATTTAAGATTAACTCTGCTGCTTGCAAGAAAAAAAGTGATTATCTATTTGAATTAATTTACATAAATGATTATTTGGAAAAATCACATTTCAGGTATCTAAAATATATTCTTGGTGTAAATAAAAAAGCCTCAAATCTGGCAGTGTTATCAGAGGTTGCAAGATTTCCTCTTTATTTTTCTGTCATTATATCTATGGTAAAATATGTACACAGGCTTAACAAATTGGACGATGGGTTACTTTATGATGCTTATGTTTGTAATAAAATTTTAGATGCAGGAAACATTAATTGTTGGTATTCATCTATGAGATATGTCCTTAAATCACTTGATATACCAAATTTGAATACAAAGCTCAATAAATTAATTAAATTTGTAAAATGTAAACTTTGTAACAGTTTTAAAACATTTTGGGTGGTCAAAAGATCTGATACCTTATCACAAGGTAATAGTAAATTAGAAAATTATCTCAACCTCAAGACTGACTTCGTAAAGGAGGCTTATTTATCAATTAAAGATTTTAATATAAGAAGAGCTATATGTAAAATGAGAATAAGTGCACATGATCTTAAAATTGAGAAAGATAGATATAGTAAAAAATACATAGAGAGAAGTCAGCGTCTATGTCATCACTGCCTATCACATGGATCAAATTCTATTGAAGATGAGACCCATTTCACAGTAAGTTGTCCTTTATAGAACGAACAGAGAAAATTATTATGGGATAAAGTAAACAGTTTTTGTACTAATTTTAAAGAATTACCCAAGGATAAAAAATATTTCTGGCTGTTCACAAATGAGCATTTACCAACTCTTATGTGCCTAGGCAATTATATTATAAAGTGTTTAGAAATAAGATCCAGGTGGGTACAAAATATATAAAATAATATTTAATTATTATGAAATTATTGTTATAGCTATGTAAGACACATGATGTGTTAGGCTCTGATCCTGTCCATAATATGATAGTATTATATTAGGATCTAGTTTTTTTCTTTTTTCCAATCATATTGTGCTTAATATTGTTGTAAATGATGCCCTTTATGGGTTCTTGATTAGATTAATAAAATTCTTATTGCTTTCTCATTAACTTGTTCCCCGCTGCCCCAATTGTCAATATGTTTGGAGGAGGCAGACCCAAAACCTCTTACGTACTATGACATATAGCTGTTCAAACGAACCTGATGTTAGTAGTTCAAGTCTGTAGTATTTGGCAGTTTTAAAATATGTTACATCGGAATTTGTGTTTTAAGGCATAGAAAGATGACACTGTGATATCAAATGAAAAAGCCATGCGATCTCCGAAGTTAAATATAACATGAAAATGTTCATGATAGAAGTTGTATCTAAATAATTCAACTAGCGATGATTATCACCACCAGTGAATTTTGATAAATATATGCGATTTACGTTCAATGATAATTGTTTTGCGATAATTTCATGCATATCCATGACTAGTTTTAGATTTAAAGGACAACTGAATACAGAAAATATTTTTTCTCCTCTGCTTAAAATTGTTATTTAACACCAAATGATTTTTTTTCAACAGTTTCTTGGTTTTTTTTCTCGTTATTGAAGGACTTAGAAACAGTAATGAATCGTAAAGTTACTAAAAATGATAGATTTTGTCTGTAAATTTGCACGCCATGAACTTAGTAGTTGTTATTAAACTAAGCTTGCAACTCATTCAGGCAAAGTTGACCATGGCAGGTTCGGGCTGTTATATTCGGGACCTTTTGATTTTCATGCTATCAAATGATTTATATTTTGGACTTTAAAATAAAAACCTTTTGGTCTAGTGGGTAAATGATGAAGGTTAATCAGGTAACGCGTGTTGTGCTCACGGAAATCTTAACAAAATCTTAACATACGTTATTTACTGGCGTTTTCTTCCCCAGCTCCGTGTATATTATTTAATCCTGATGTATATTTATCTCAAATCCGTCAACATTTTCACCTGACTAAAGATTAATAGGGTATTTGTTTCATTTTCCAGTTGCAGACACTTTGATATCTGATGTTACAATGATATTCGATATGAAGGAAACCAGTGTAGTTGAATTGCCGATGAAACACAAAATGAAGGTAATATAGTAAATATTAGAATTGAATATGTTCTAAATAGATTAACTGCAGCATATTATTTGCAGTAAAGTCAACATTTTGCCTGATTTATTTATATGTAGAGTTTTTTTGTTTGTTTGTTTAATTGCAGGTTTTTTTTACACTGTTGCCAAACAAGAAGCTTCTACTGCATACTTCTGTAGGTGTCATCTTTTAAAAATTTTATGTGCTTTCTTTTCGTTGATAATACACAAACCTGAAATATGATGACCGCGAGCAATTGATTTCCTTCAGCTGAACAAAATTCTAAACAGAGGTAGATTCAATTAAATACAATCCTGATTATTGAACATAAACATGATTTTTGGTTAAATCTGGTAATATAGAAGAATGCATTGCATTGGTAAATCTCAGGAAAAAAGATACCGAATCATTGATATTAAAATGGGATCAGACAGTTGTTATGATAACTTAAGGAATAGGCATATCCTGCTTAACATATGTAACCAATCATGTTTTGCATAAAACACACCCATTAATGATATCAGGTGGCCTGAGGGGGTAAACATATCCTGTTAAACATGTGACACCCGTCATGTTGTCCACTGATCAGCCGTTAATGATACCAGATGCTCTAAAGGGGTAAACATATCCTGTTTAATTTGCAACACCCGTCATGTTATCCACTGATCAAAGCTGAGTCGATCTTGGTAAAAGAATTTGAAGTACTAAGGCACCGACACTTCAGTCATCATTTGTTGGCTTTGGTCATGGTTTTTTTCTCGGTTCACAAAATTGTTTTAAACTCATTTTAAGAAGAAAATACAGGTGCATATTTAACTGTCGACATAAGACTGGTCAATTTTTTTTTTGTATTTCATATGAAGTTTATTTATAAACAAAATGTGAAGTTTGCTATCAATCAAAATGTTTTATTTTATTGATTTGCAGGAACCACTGAATGTTACAGTTCTGCGTTGTCCACCAGCTAGCTATACAATTACTCAGTCAGACAACAAGTCTAGCGAGGTTTTTACACATGTTATATTCTTAAAGCAACCGAATAAAACTTTTGTTTTTATACTAAATTCTTTTAAATTAACGTTTCCATTGCCATTGAATTTGGAGTCGGGGAAATGGACTGAAATTCAGATGTTGCGTTTGTCTCAGCAAAACTGTAGCACGAATAAGCACATGATAGCTGTAACAGTTCACCATAGTCACGTGGTATATTTTAAAACGTGTAAGTAGTTTAATATCTCCATTTCAGTCTATCAATTTTTTCAAATTACATATTTGTTGACTGTAAAAAAGTCAATATATCAGTAATATATTTTCATGATGATATCTTGGTATTATGAAGAAGCGTCTGTCTAATTTTTCATTAAATTCCCTGAAGTTTTGACAAAGTTATTCAAATTTTAAAAACAGACTATCTAAATATTGACTGCAACAAAAACAAATAAACAAACAGTCACAAAATAAGTCCATTTAATAGTTAAAACGGAGAAACGGTAGGGGACTAAATTTGACTTTAGATGGTCACGAATAAGCTTATGTAAAAGTTTCCTGAAATTCCTGAAATTCTTTGAATGTTTGAGAAAGGTTGTTGATGTTTTACCATAAGCTGTATCAAAATTTTAAATAAAAAAAGTCTTTTAAATAAAATAAAAAGTCTTTTGAGGAAGTAAACAAATTATGGTTGAGAAAATGCATTGAAAAGAGGAGGACTTCCCTTGATTTTCATATCAATAAGTCAAAAACCAATAATTGCTATAAATAGAATAAAAAAATTGGAAGCATAAATTCATCTTCATCCATCTTTACCTAACTTACTTTTGTAATAACTATTTGAAAGAGGAAATTATCATTTGTGTGTGTAAGGCAAGTACTAGTGCAAAGATCATTCTTTCTAGATCCTACCAGCTGTTATCAATAGTTTGGGATTTTTTTTCTCAGGATCATATCTTTTAAATCGTACTTTAAATCTTTACCCAACATAACAACACATGTTTACTTGTTTTATGACTGCAAAATTGCTTATATTCACTTCATTGAACTCCGGTAGACAGTTGTCTAATTGACAATCATGCCACATCTCCTTACTTTTATATAACGGATAACTTGTATTTTTGATATTTAAACAGCATCACATTGAATCTTACTTTACATTCCAGATTTATCGATAGATGACTATAAGCAGTTATATATATTAGCACTAAGATACCTGTATAGTAAGAATACAAGTGCCCAACAATGCAAACCTATAGAATTTTTCTATAGGAATAAAAGTGAACAGTATTATAAGGACATATTGAAATCTACATCTGGTGAAATGATACCTTATATCAAAGACAGTAATGGCGACCAAGGCTCCATTATCAATGGTGCTATTAACGGTCTGTTTTATAGTACCCTGCTAGGTCCAAGGTCTAAACCACCACCTATATCATTTTATGGACCTGTCCGACTTCATTTAAAGGCAAATATTATCTTCACAGAGAATTGTAAAATATATTTCTCTGATTTTTACTGCCACTATGAACAGCATTATGTTACAATTGTATTAACTCGCAAAGGATCTTTAGAAGACGTTTTTTGTAGTCAGCATCTACTACAGATGGATAAAAATGACAATCCGTTCATGAAAATTTCCAGAAATGTTAATGGTCTAAATGTTGTCATGGCAACAATGGCTGTTGTAGTAGAAGTATTTTATACAGAAAGCGTTAACATACGATCTTTGCTACAGTGGGGACATGGTTACATTAGTAAAACAGTCTTGATGGGTCGCGGCAGAAGTAAACCAGAAGGAATTCCAAAAAATGAAAATTGCGACAAATGTAATTTATCTTATAAGAAATGATATTGAAATTTTCCCCAATTTGTGTTTGATGTTTTCATATAAGACATACAATTCAAATATACGTCTGCGATAAACCTTATGTGTAAATAGAAAAAAATATATTTGCCGGTTTTTTTTCAAAGTGACAGACTATAAATATTCAGCTGTTAGAAAGTTTATCAGTGAAGTTGGAGTAGATGGCCAATGATTGCTCTCAATTTCATTTGAAGGCTGCCTAGTTTTTTAATTATATCAAACACTTTACTTGATATTGCCTTTTTTACATTAGAAGAAGAAAGTTCGGTGCTATAAATGAACTTTATTGAACAACAATAGACAACAACTGGTCGATAAACATCGTAAAATATAGCGAAATATTTTTGTGAATGAAAATACCGTTATCATGTATGATATAAAAAGAAATTGTTTCTTGTCTATATGCATCAAACCCTATCAATGCAAGCCACCTTGCATCTTTCCTTTACAAACGGCAACAATTACATCGCGGTATAAGAAAATGATATGCAAATGTTACCAAACTCGGAAAAAGTAATGTTCAAGATTTTTTGTGAGTCCGAATCTTATATTTTTATGCGGTACACATCTTTATATTTAAGAAACAGAAAAATTCGTTCTGATTGCGTTCTATCTGAACAGTGCATAGTCTCTATTAACAAGCTTTATCATTCTATAAGAAATGAAACTAATGTATTCAAACAATGACAAATACAGAAAAATCATGGAAAAAATATACATAATATTTTTAAAATATAAAACACACAACTTTTTAGCTTAAACAAGTGAACCCGTCTTACTCTTTTTACACAACGAGCATGCAAAAATAACAGCTGCAATCTGAAAAAAAAAGAACAACAGTCTGTCAATCAAGTCAAATCAAATTATTTATTGATTTGAAATTTATTGATTTGAAATTCAAATACAGAATCGTTACCAAGCCATCCAAAATTCAATACTAGCAAACATTGAACAAAGAAATATTCAAATATGTTGACAAGAAAACACTTGTAAATTTTTTGATAATAGACTAGTTTGAGGGAATACTTTTGACAAGTTATGTACTAGAAAATGTTTACATATATATGATTGCTACAATATTAACAATATGGAAAATAAAATTAAAAAACATCCATGTAATAGTAAATAATCCTAAACTTGTATATTATCTCTCTTCGTTGTGAGTATACTTTCTACTTCGTTAAAGATATGTTCTTTTCGTTTTGTCAAAACTTGATATTTATTGCAAAATTAAATTCATCTTCCACTTCTTTTTAACAAAGTTGACAATTATTTTTCTATGAATTATTAACGGTGTCTCCGACATTTTATTGCAAAATGAAATTCATTTTCTATGAATAATTCACGGTGTCACCGACATTTTATTTCAAAATAAAATTCATCTTCTTATATGAATAATTAACAGTGTCTCCCTTATTCAATATTTAAATTCTGTCGTTAAAATGTTGTCGTTGTTTTATGCCAATGACTTTAATAAGACCGTTGGTTGTTTATTTTAAATTTTCCTAATTTGGTTTACCGTCGTTCCTTACATTTATTCCCTTGTTGAAGGCCGTTACAGTGAACTATAGATATGTAGATTTTTGGTCTCTGGTGGAAACTTGTCTCATAGGTTAGCATACCATTGCAAATCTCTTTATTTGTTATTAAATTACATATTAACGATCTTTATAAACACAAGAGAAGATGTCCTTACTTTGCTTAAACTATACACATACATCAGAATATTACAGCCTAAAATATCGATTAAAAATTTGATGTTAAAGTTTCATAATTTGTATTTTGTGTCATTCCAAAGTATGTGTATTTTTTCTTTAATTTGTTTGTTTTCAAATGTGTTTTTTTATAAATCAAACATGTGTCATTCCAAAGTATGTTTTTTTTTTATTTATTTTGCTGTTTTTTTTTTAAATAAAACATGTGTTATTTTTATTGATTTTGCTTGTTTTTTTTTTCAAATGTTTTTTTTTTAAATAAAACATGTGTCATTCCAAAGTATATGTATTTTTATCTTTTATTTTGCTTGTTTGTTTTCAAATGATTTTTTTAAATAAAACATGCGTCATTCCTAAGTATGTACTTTTTTTTTATTTTGCTTGTTTGTTTTCAAATTGTATTTTTTAATAAAACAGCGATTACAAACCCATTTTATAGTTCCGATAATATAATAAACGGTAAACATGAAACTTATTGGTGAACAACAACGGGACAATGTTTTAATGCCGTTTTTCACTTCTCGGATTCATACATTTACCTACCTCTGTCAACAAGATAAAGACTCCAATACAAATGAAGGCAACTGAATACTTCGTTGCAAAATCTTTGACAGCATCATAACAACCCTATAAAATATTTGTTGATGAACCTTTAACATTTTAATCCAATTCTGTACCCACTTGCACACAAGAGATATCTGATAAAGCTTTAACACTTATCTATGCGTTTTGGACAAAACCACATATTCTTTTATTTGCAAAACCGGATTTTGATGACATTTATAGGAATGTTCCTTAAGCTTAAAATATAAATCTGAGGAATGACGATGTGACAGTGCCATACGGGCAGCTCCTAATCCCTGAAAATGCAGTTTATTCATATAACAAACAAATAATTAGCCCCTGGAAACCAAAGGAGGAGCATAAAACAGAACTCACATAACGTATTTGTCAATTATGTAATTTTACGAAGATTTATGTAGAAATTTATAACATAATTCTTGACTCATGCATGGAACTATTTTCCATATTGTTCCATAAACCAACTTTTTTCAAACAAATCTTCATCTAAAATTTTATCAACGTGGGTTTTTAAAGTGGCCTCTCTTCTCTCAATTTGTCATACCAAAAGCGGTATGTAAATATCTGCCTCCATGGTACCTATTGAAGTCGAACAGTTATAATAGAGATTTCAGACGACACAGCAGAATTGCCTAGCAAAAATCGTATGTTCTTCTAACGTATTTAAATAGTATGTAATACATTTATCGTGAATTAAAAGCGATACATGTGATTTATACTTTCGTTATAACTATAATGTATGAGGCATCATTGGAAGATGTTGACTGCCTGTTTCAATGCAAGATTATGGCGCGTATATGCAAAAAGTGGAAACCGACATTTCTTGTGCTATAGGAACCTCGAAATAACATTCCGATCGTAAACTGGTAAAAGTATTACACAATTAGAATTTGGAAATGCATTTTATTGGTTAAGAAAGAGTTAGATGATGGATGCGTTTTGCTTTACACTTTTAATTGTATTTCTTGCAACGGGAAACTCTGAAAATAATCTGAACAATAGATACAAAACCCGATAAGTCCGTTACCATTCTACACCGTGAGATAGGTGTCAATAGTACTATGTAATAAAGAGCATATTAACTGGCTTCTTATGTATTCTAAGCGCAAAAATGGATACAATATTTTCAGAAATGTGTCATTTAAACACCGAAATTTCTTACTGAAGAAAAAGAACAAAAGTGGCATTTTTTATATCAAATGAAGATTTTACAAACATTCACAATGATGGGTCAGGCAAAATGCAAACCATTTATTCGCGAGAATGGCGAAGTTCGTTGTCTGCCATTGTAAACTCCTAAATTTCATGCTGATAAAAAGAGTGAAACTCGAATAGCATAATTTCAATGTGTAAGAAGATTTTGGGAACATTATCAACTATGATGCCTATCCAGATTAAACACTGAAAATATATATATCTTTCTATGACTTACCCCTACACGTGCACCACTCTGATAAAATTTAAGTAGGAAATTGCCCAAAGATATATAATGAGCATTCTATAAAAGGTTCACTGCACTCACCGGATTCTGATGGATGTGAAATGAGACCCCTAGTCTTGGAAAAGTATTTGATATTTGGAATGGTGTTGCAAAGGTAACTGGTATTCGTTAAAGTTTTAACCAATATGATGCACTTAGTATTTCTTGTTCGGATTTCAAATATAAATTCTTAATTCTTCACATTTTAAGTTTTCTAATTAAGTACATTATGTTTGAAAATATTTAAAAGGGACCATTGTGATTTTGTTATTTTCAAATATAAGTTGCAATCACAATATGTTTCCTGTTAACTTTAACCTAGAACATGCAAACATGGTACTTTTGCAAAATATAACTGGCAAAAATTGTACAACAAAAACTTTAAACCATTCTTGATAGAAAAGTGTGGTCGAGTAAATGAACTTATAAAATGGATGTGACTTCTAGCCAAAGAAAGAAACACTACAGTTTTTTTTTATAAATGGTAAATGCATATCATGCATACATAAATGTACATGTGCATGTTATTCAGATGGGCTGGAATCCTTGTTCAATGTAGACCTCAATTAATTTGTATAAATGCATTTAAAAAGACTTCAAAATACACAAAATATGTGTCTATTTACCATAAGGTACTACTCTATAAGTGTATGAGACAAATAAACAGAAGTATTAAACATTACACTAATATACCTTTGAATGTTGTCCAGTTGGGTCGGCATTCTTAGTAAATGAACATGTACTGGAGTATGAAGACGATGTCGCTGATGGACAACATGATATGGGAAGCTCGTCAGCTCCACTTCCAGTATACCATGCAGAGTTAGTGTAATCATTACCAGTTCCTTTACCAGTGACAGCATCAATACCACAACACTCAAGCTATAATAGATATAAGAAGATGTGGTATGAGTGCCAATGAGACAACTCTCCATCCAAGTCAAAATTTATAAAAGTAAACCGTTATTGGTCAAAGTACGGTCTTCCACACGGAGCCTTGGCTCACACCGAACAGCAAGCTATAAAGGGCCCCAAAAAATTACTAGTGTAAAACCATTCAAACGGGAAAACCAACGGTCTAATCTATATAAAAAACGAGAACTGAGAAACACTTATAAACCACATCAACAAACTACAACCACTGAACATCAGATTCCTGACTTAGGACAGGTGCAAACAATTGCAGCGGGTTTAAACGTTTTAATGGTACCAAACCTTCACCCTTATCTTTGCGTATTTCAAACTTTAACCTAGATAATCTTCATTGAATACTCATAAAGAGATATATTCTTGCGCTTAATTGAGATATAAAATGTAAACACTCTAGCGTTGAAGATGTAAAGTCAAGCGATAGAGACGTAAATTCTAGCACTTTTAAAAATGTAAAGTCCATCCCTGGAAAAGTAAATTCCAGTACTAAAGATATCCAATCCAGCGCAGAAGATGTATAGTTTAGCACTGCAGATGTAAACTCCAGCGCTGAAGATGTAAAGTCCAGTCCCAGATCTGTAAAGCCCAGATTTGAATATTAAAACTCAAGTCCAGTAGATATAAAGAACCCTAAATAAAACCAAAAGAATACTAAGTCAAGGTTAACAACTGCATTGTCCATGAGTCCGTGATAATAATAGTGAAAAAGTATGTTTGATGGTCCTGTTGTTTTAATAAATTTGTACTAACAGTTTTAGAGTAGAAAGTTAACACTTACATTCATGTTGAGATAATTCCATCCTGATGAAAGTTCGTGTGTTGTAAGATCGTCTGTTGTGAATTTTAGAAGTGCCGTTTTCATTTCTGTTTTCAGTTTGCTTTCAATCTGTGCAACAAGATGTTAGTGGAATTTATGTACATGTTTTTATTTGTGATTACTCAGGCTATTAAACAATATATATGTAGACTCATCAAGTTGGGCGTAAATAACATCTGAGTAAGGTTCTATTGGTTTATTATAGTAATCTCAAATAAACACCCTGTAACATATAAAACACACAATAAGACACAATACATACGTTCAAAGAACGATAACTCTAATTATAATCTCCATATTAATAAAATAAAATATAAATTATCCAAGTAGTTAACTTCAGTTCGAAATATACCATATTTAATACAGTATGTTTAACTACAAATCATAAGCATCTATACCAAAGTCTATTTCCGGTAACTGTTCAATATGCAATTCTACAGATATCAATAACACCTTGTGTCAACGATCATTATCTAAAGTAATCAATTCTGATACACTATTCTATTCGGAGATATTCGTAAACTAAACAATAACACATTACAAACACAGACAAGACACACATTAATTAAAACACATAAGTACAAATAGACAGCACGTAAATAAATAAACATGTAAACACAGAACACAGCTTACCGTGTATATAATACAAGGGCTGAGCAGTGCTCCTCTATAAAGTTACTGTATACTCTTATACTTCACATACTGGAATCTGAATATAAAGAAATATGACTTCATAAGTCTAAATGTCAAAACTAGTAAATAATATAGTTAAACTCAATCCAAGACAATATTCTATGCTGAAATCTAATAACAGCCAAATATGAAAAATAATATAATAACTGTAATATTCTTTCTGTCTTGCAAATACCAACTTAAAGTAAAAATATGAACTCTTTCATACTCATGGAAATCAAAGTGGACTTTCATACACATTTTCATAACACATTCATATCTTTTATACCAAGATAAAAATACAGAAATACATGCATCAAATACTAATGTAAAGAATATAACTGACCTGAATATAAAGAATGGTTTCCAGAATAAGAAGAATAAGTATCTATAAATCACAATAAAGTGTCAGTGTTCTATATCTCTGTGTAGAATTTGAAAAGAGTGCCTCAATATCAAAGGAGTTCACAGAGTAACCAATCAGAATAAAGAAATAGAATACCCAGGATGTAAATACCCAAGTGAATAGAAAATCAAAGTACTGTCATACTGTATACTCTGTCAGAGTCAGTCAACAAGTCAATGCATGAACAAATATATACAAATACTATTTATTAACATAAATGATAAAATCAAGCTGTACTACAAACTCCCCTGCATTGGGAAATGACGTCCCCGTCATTGCAGTCAAGTTTTAACAAAATACAATATATAATACACATGTGAAGTTCTGACTCTCAGTACTTCTTACTAACAATTCATGAAATTAATATCAAACATATAAAAGATAAAACACAGATCTCAATCACTGAATGGAATAATCTCACTGAATTTCTAAGATGATTTCAAAATAATGTCTATTAAAGCTTTCCCAGCTTCTTTTTCTAATCCAGATAGAGTTCCATCTTTAATTGCAGAAGCTATAAATTCTGCTTTTGCTTTCCAATCACAAATCACTGCACTTTTTACAACAAAATCTCCAGACCTTAGCCACTTTGGTTCTCTCCTAGCACGACGCGACCTTCTAGGTGGAGGTATCGGAGTATGAACCAAATCATCTAATGTATCACTATCATTATCAGATTGAACGGTTTCATCTGCGTTCAATAATTCATGACTAGATTCATCAATTCCAGAAGCGCTTCCTAATTCAGAATCATCTCTGACTTCCTGAATATCAGATTGGGCGTCCCCAACTGATTCTGTTGTATCCTGTTCAATTTCCACTTCCTGTAATGCAACAGTATCCTCAGTACTTGTTGGAGCACTATCTGTTGTCATAACAGGTACAAAATAATATTCATCCTCTGATGAAGATTCACTAGCTAAGTCTGAAGTGTCTGTAACTATAACTGATTTCGGTTTCGGTGGTGATTTCATCGGTTTTAATCTAGGTTTCGGTTTCGGTGGAGTTTTAACGGTTTTGTCTGAAATATGGCCAATAGGTAGAAGTAGATTTCTATGAAGTGTTCTTAATCTTCCTTCTCCATTTTCCTTTTTAACATTGAAAACAGGTATTTCTAAATTCGGTTGCGATAAAATTATATACGGTTCATCCTCCCACTTATCAGCAATTTTATGTTTTCCGTCGAATGCAACTTTCCTAACTAAAACCTTATCTCCTTTTTCAATCACTGCACCTCTTGCTCTGAGATCATAACCTTCCTTTTGTTTCGCCTGAGCTTTCCTTGAGTGTGCAGCTGCTAATTCATACGCCTTAACTAATCTTTCTCTTAACTCCTGAACATATTTTGTTTGCGGTTTGCGTTGTTTTTCTGTAACTAATCCAAAAGCTAAATCTATAGGTAATTGCGGTTCTCTTCCAAACATTAAAAAGTATGGTGATTGATTGGTTGATTCGTGTTTTGTACAGTTATACGCATGAACAAGTGATCCTACATGTAATTTCCAATTAAGTTTTTGATTCGGTTCCAAAGTTCCTAACATTGAGAGTAAAGTACGGTTAAATCTTTCTGTCATTCCATTTCCCATTGCGTGATACGGTGTAGTTCTAGATTTTTTAGTTCCCAAAAGTTTACAAAGTTCCTGTATTAAATTCCCTTCAAAATTTGCTCCTTGATCTGAATGTATGCGTTTCGGTATTCCGTAATGGACAATAAACTGGTGAAATAAAACTTCTGCTGTAGTTTTAGCGGTCTGATTCCTTGTCGGATAGGCTTGAGCGTACCTAGTGAAATGATCTGTCACTACTAACATATGCTGATGTCCTCCTCTTGATTGTTCCAAAGTTAAAAAATCTATGCATACCAATTCCAAAGGTTGTGAAGTTGTAATACTTACCAGTGGTGCTCTTGATGGTTGTTTTTTTCTTTTTATACATCGATCGCAGTTCTCAATCCAATTGTCAATATCTTTCGACATACCTGGCCAATAAAATCTATCACGCAATAATGATGTAGTTCTATCACGTCCAGGGTGTCCCATTTCATTATGTAAAGCCTCTAATACTGTTTTAACATAATTTGATGGTAGTACAAGCTGATTTAGTATCTTACCATTCCTATCTGTTACTTCTCTGTATAAGATGTTGTCGATCAGTTTCAGATGTTCAAACTGTCTGAGTAACGGACTGTGTATGATTTCTCCCTTCTTCGGTTTCTTTCCTATATTAACACATTCAATCCATGGTTGAAGTCCTTTATCCTGATGTTGTATACTTACCCAATCTATGTCGTTGTAAACTTGATGTTGAGTATCTATTGTTGTTTCATCAACTACTTCTGGTGATATTGATAGAGTTTCCACTAATGGTGTTGAAATCATTCCACATATAGCTTTAATAGATTCCATTGGTATATTTGTCTCTTTGTTGGTTGGTATCCTTGATAAACCATCTGCATCGGAGTTGTTTTTGCCAGGACGGTATGTAATATCAAAGTCATATACTGAAAGAGCAGCTAACCACCTATGTCCTGTGGCATCTAAGTTGGCAGTTGTTAACGCATAGGTGAGCGGATTATTATCGGTTAATACTTTGAATGCATGTCCATAAAGATAACTGTGAAATTTGTCACAAACTGACCATTTGAGTGCTAAGAATTCTAATTTATGTGCCGGATAGTTCTTTTCTGATTTCGATAGTCCACGGCTTGCATATGCTATTACTCTGTCGTGTCCTTCTTGATGTTGATATAATACAGCACCTAACCCTGATCCACTAGCATCAGTGTGTAATTCGAACGGTTTTGTATAATCGGCATATCCTAAAATTGGTGCTGTTGATAGAAGTTCTTTTAATTTTACAAATGCATTTTCCTGTTTTTCTCCCCAAGTCCATGATTTTTGAGTTTGAGTTTTCTTTTTGGTCTTTTTAGCTGGTGTCGGCATTAATTCAGTTAACGGTTTAGAAATTTGACTGAAGTTTCGAATAAATCTGCGGTAGTATCCTGCAAAACCAATAAATTGCCTAATTTCCTCTGGAGTTTTCGGTGTTGGCCAATTCTTAATTTTCTCTATTTTATCGGGGTCAGTTTCAACTCCTTCCTCTGAGACTATATGACCTACATACTTTACCTTTGGTTTGAAGAAGGTACATTTAGCTGGTGCCATTTTCAAACAAGCATCCCTAATTCTGTCAAAAACAAGTTTTAATCTCTCCATATGTTCTTCAAATGTCCTAGAAAATATTATGATGTCATCTATAAATATGCAACATATTTTCAAGTGTAAGTCTCCTAAACAATCTTGCATTAGACGCTGATAAGTTGCAGGTGAGTTAGATAACCCAAACGGCATTCTACAAAATTCGAAAAATCCTAAAGGGCCTACAGTAAAAGCTGTGCGCTCTTTATGCGGTTCGTATATCTCCACTTGGTGATAGCCTGATTTCATATCAACGGTAGAAAAATACTTGTTTCCTGCAAGACAGTCGAGTATTTCCTCTATACGGGGAATAGCATATGCATCAAGACGAGATTTCTTGTTGAGTTGTCTAAAATCTACACACATTCTTAGACTCTTATCCTTCTTCCTTACTAGAACTACATTTGATGAGAAAGGACTATGTGATTTCCTTATAATACCACGTTGGGCGCCATTTGTAGACTCATCAAGTTGGGCGTAAATAACATCTGAGTAAGGTTCTATTGGTTTATTATAGTAATCTCAAATAAACACCCTGTAACATATAAAACACACAATAAGACACAATACATACGTTCAAAGAACGATAACTCTAATTATAATCTCCATATTAATAAAATAAAATATAAATTATCCAAGTAGTTAACTTCAGTTCGAAATATACCATATTTAATAAAGTATGTTTAACTACAAATCATAAGCATCTATACCAAAGTCTATTTCCGGTAACTGTTCAATATGCAATTCTACAGATATCAATAACACCTTGTGTCAACGATCATTATCTAAAGTAATCAATTCTGATACACTATTCTATTCGGAGATATTCGTAAACTAAACAATAACACATTACAAACACAGACAAGACACACATTAATTAAAACACATAAGTACAAATAGACAGCACGTAAATAAATAAACATGTAAACACAGAACACAGCTTACCGTGTATATAATACAAGGGCTGAGCAGTGCTCCTCTATAAAGTTACTGTATACTCTTATACTTCACATACTGGAATCTGAATATAAAGAAATATGACTTCATAAGTCTAAATGTCAAAACTAGTAAATAATATAGTTAAACTCAATCCAAGACAATATTCTATGCTGAAATCTAATAACAGCCAAATATGAAAAATAATATAATAACTGTAATATTCTTTCTGTCTTGCAAATACCAACTTAAAGTAAAAATATGAACTCTTTCATACTCATGGAAATCAAAGTGGACTTTCATACACATTTTCATAACACATTCATATCTTTTATACCAAGATAAAAATACAGAAATACATGCATCAAATACTAATGTAAAGAATATAACTGACCTGAATATAAAGAATGGTTTCCAGAATAAGAAGAATAAGTATCTATAAATCACAATAAAGTGTCAGTGTTCTATATCTCTGTGTAGAATTTGAAAAGAGTGCCTCAATATCAAAGGAGTTCACAGAGTAACCAATCAGAATAAAGAAATAGAATACCCAGGATGTAAATACCCAAGTGAATAGAAAATCAAAGTACTGTCATACTGTATACTCTGTCAGAGTCAGTCAACAAGTCAATGCATGAACAAATATATACAAATACTATTTATTAACATAAATGATAAAATCAAGCTGTACTACATATACATACAGTTATCTATTATAAAAGGCCATGAACAACGGCAATATTTGATCATATCAATAATAATCATAAATATTTGAAACGAATACAAGACCCTGCAGGGGCGGATCCAGGATTTTGAAAAGGGGGGGCGTAGTATTAAAGATCGCCGAACGGAGCGAGGCGAAAAAATTTTTGGACCCTTTTTTGGCTAAAAAACATAAAATAAGTGTAAAATGCATTTTATAGTTAAAGTGTAGGGTTTGGACATTTTTGGTGCCGTAATCTCTCCATTAATTGTCTATTATGAAATGATTGGATGGATCCAAAGCTATGTACTAATTAATATATTTGATGTGGGATTTGTCAGTAAAAAATGGACATGGAAAATTCTCGTTTGTTGTATGGTTAGTTAGCATATCCTCACAGATTTCTTGTTGTAAACAAGATATACGGCTATTCAATGAAATTTACAATACGACCGACACGAAGAAAGACAAACAAGCAGTTTTTATCCAAATGTTTGGTTGAAATGTTTCAACCAACAAGGGAAGTGAGGGGTTCCAAATCAACCAAAGGCTACGAATGAGTCGGAAATGACAATGAAGTTGTGAATGACGGTCGACACATGGAGACATAGGCCACACCCAGCAGGCAGGTTGCAGTCGGGCCTTGAAAAAAGTATTCAGTATATCAGTTCGGCGAAACAGACATTCCGGTCAGATATGGGATTCACATGTAACCCCCACCCCCAAAAAAAAAAATCACGCCCGTTTTTTATTCATCATGTTCATTTAATGCTAAATAATTTTGTTGAAAATATTTTTTTCTAATAGCAAAAAAGTGGACAAGATTATTGTTTTCAATCCAGATACGGCCAGAATTTTTGTTTAAGGCAAAAACCAGGGTCAGAATTTTTTCTCTAAAATATCTCAGACTGCCCCCTCAAATCAAATGGTCCGTACCTTAGATTTATATCTATATCTGGAGCTTACTGATTGGGGATCACTATTCCCCAATATAATAATATTGCTGTGGAACTTTTTTTTTTCCTGAGAGTGTAATAGAGTATTACTTTCTGTTGGGTGGAATTGTGAAAGAGAAGTCAATACGTTCTTGCTCAATACTTTGTCGCTTTGAAGGCGTCATGCTTGTCATCCTCAGCCTAAGCAATGTGTTACTGTAATTGACTGTAAAATGACTGAGTGACGTTTTTTTCGACGTACTAGTCAACTCCACCGTAGCGAATCACTTGACTTTGACATAATCAATAATATATTACAGTAAATACGTTCAAAAAATATATTTATAAGTAAAGAATTGTCGTATAAAAATTAAATACACGGGAAATGGCAAAGTTCGCGAAGTCTAGTCTGATTAATCATTTTACAAAAAAAAAACAGAAAAAAAAGTGCAAGCAAAGGGGGGCGTACGCCCTCTACGCCCCCCCTCTGGATCCACCACTGCGGCCTGTTTTGTTTTGTTTTGTTTTTTTTGCTAAATGACCTCCACTGTTTTGATTTAGAAATGTTTGCTGTTCGGTGTGAGTCAAGGCTCCTTGTTGAAGGCCATACTTTGACCTATAATTGTTTACTTTTTATACATTGTGACCTGGATGGAGAGTTGTCTCATTGGCACTCATACCACATCTTCTTATTTATATTAATTGAGCACTGGTTATTTTTTAACTGGTTCGAGTTGCATTTTATGATAAAAGAAAAGACATTTTGAACACTATTTAACCAACGAAAGCATCTGTCCTGTACATAAACGTACATGAATGTTTTCCTATATTGTAAGTAATTCACTTATTTGTAATATAATGACAAATTAAACCGCAATATTTTTTGGGGGAAAACTACTTTCAACAGTTATGTATTTTCAAATGCAGATATTGTAGAAAAGTAGACAAGAAAGTTTGACATATCGTATGGACAGACACCTGTCGGTCGTAAAGACAGTTCTTTTGGATTTTTTGTCAAGATTTTGATCAAAATGCTTTTATTCATATAAAGGAATGCATTTTTGTGTATATTTGTTTGAATCATATGATACTATGATGCCATTCCTAGAATAGAAAGTTCTATAGTTGTACTATACTTACATCAGAGTTAAAAATAATCCACAAAATAACAATAACAAACTTTCCAATAGACAGGATCAGTACTATGATTATGTACTATAAAGAAAGAATAATGCTTTGGAAAAGTGGGCAATAAAAAAGATATGTCAAATGGAATTTAGTTAAAACATGGAAAAAATTAGGTTATGCATTACGCATGTTACGTCATAGGACACAATATTAACTGTGTTATAACCAGTGTTGTTACACCACTGTTCCAGATTATGGAGATGGTTGAGCGCTCACGAACATATTAAATCTTGTCACATTTTATGTGCCTTTCCCAAATCAACAACATGTAATCCAGTGATTGTCGTCGGTTGCTGTCTGTCGTAATTGTTTTTCGTTTATTGTTGTAGCCTAAACTAAACGACAATTGTCTCGCATCTTGTCATAGCAAGGCTTTTTACAGCTCACTAATCGGTATATGGCCAGTGTTAAAGGATTAGTGTTCATATCATTGTCATTTGGTCTTAATAGGTATTTTTCTCTTGGCAATCATACTATATCTTCATATGTTATATTATTTTATGTTTGTCGAGAAACCTCTTAGCTTCTCTTTCCAGTGGCTCTTGGGTTTAACATAGGTTTGTAATATTACTAAGTTCATGTCACTTATTCGTCAGCTTTTTGACAGTGTTTTGATAGTCATTGGTAAATCTTTAGATCATGATGTTGTTGTCGTTCTTTTTCTTAGATTGAGTTTTTATTGGCTCCTTGGCATTTTTTTTTAAATCTTAATCGTTATTCTTAGAAATATAATGAAATTAAGATATTCACGTAATTAATATATTGAGACTGTTTATAATGCAACATGCTTTACGTCTCTGTAATGAAAAGATCTCACGTGTTTCGGTTCTTGTAATACCCTGGCTTTCAAATATTTTGCTTTGTGCGTTCCCGATTAAGGTAAATCCAGACAAGCGCTTGGAACACAGCAAATACATAAATTGTTATTTTTTTTTTTGTATTAGTATTTATGTTGATAGTTTAACTTACAATGATCAGGAGACATCTGATTTTACAGCATGCACCGATTGCACCAATCAATGAAAGAACAAGGACAAAGGAACCCAGTACAATCAATGTTATAGACAAGCCTTTAGCCATGTCACCAAGATTTGTCACACCAAAGCTCACACTTTTTAATGCTGGCAGCACGTCATCATTAATAACATCTTCGTTTAGAACAACTAGTATGCCTGGAATCAACAGTCCTAATCCAAGCAGCTGCAAAAACAATAACGAAAAAGAAGATAGAAACATTTAGTAGGAAGTGGTGCATCAATGTAAAAATGCATACAAAATCATCTCATCCTTTTGATAGGACAGCTGAAATTTACATTCTTCAGTCTGTTTTTGTCATATTTCAGATATATATTATAAAGATTCGTGCAAGAAAATTCTAATTTAAGTGGTTAAAATTGTTGGAACGATTGTTTTCTTAGAGATATGCACGGATGATTATTTTTCTCAAAAAGGAACATTTTATGTTTTAGTATGGTAACATAAGGTCTTAATTTCAAACCACCATCAATTCCTTCTACGGATTTTTAGACGATATATTACTCCTACTACAGGCAATATATGAGGTATGAATGGACACCTATCTAAATAAAAAATATCATTAATCCACTTATTTTTGCAATTCTCAAAATTTCAAAAGATGACTTAGCTCTTTCGTTTTTAGACATTTTCAATTGGAAACAGCGCATGTGTACACTAGTCTGCTATGGTCAAGTCAATAATTCGTATCAATTCCACGTATCCAAAGCAATGAACCTCGTCAGTGGATGTCTTATGTCACATCGTAATGTTTTTCGTTGTTTGGAGGACTTGATGGTGACGGCACATCGATAATAGTTTCTGTTTAACTTATTCATTTTTTTTTTGTCTCAGAACGATTTAGAGCTTGATATATTGCATAGGCACCTGGCTAATGTTAAGAATGCATTTTGATCTCTAAGCGTATCATATATTGTGATTGTATTGCCGTTGTGTTACTGTCTCATTGACGCATATCCCACATCTCTTTTGTTCATGTAGATTCATTAGCAAAAAATGTTGACAAAACTCTTTACAAAATGTTTTTCTTTAATTCGACGTTTTGAATATTAAAATGATTGCTTATGTTTAAAAGTAAAAACAGCATTACATTTAAGCAATTAAAATGATACAAAAGCAGTACTATTTTCTAAATAAAAATATTTCTTATATTTTATATCATTTTTTTATATTATTTCGTCACAGTTTTTGTTCGGTTGGTTTATTCATTTTCACTGTTACCTGCTTTAACCCAGCCGCATTTTTGCGACTGTCCCAAATCAGGAACCTCTACCCTTTGTAAGTCTTTTGATTTTTTAAAATAATTGGTTCATTTGTATGTTTCGGAGTTAAGTGTGGTGTCCATTTCGCTAAACTAGTATACATTAATGTTTAGGGGCCAGCTGAAGCCTACCGGGTGCTTGATTTTTTCGCTGCATTGCTGACCCATTGGTGGCCTTGGGTTGTTTTCTGCTCTTTGGTAGGGCTGTTACCTGCTTTAACCCAGCCGCATTTTTGCGACTGTCCCAAATCAGGAACCTCTACCCTTTGTAAGTCTTTTGATTTTTTAAAATAATTGGTTCATTTGTATGTTTCGGAGTTAAGTGTGGTGTCCATTTCGCTAAACTAGTATACATTAATGTTTAGGGGCCAGCTGAAGCCTACCGGGTGCTTGATTTTTTCGCTGCATTGCTGACCCATTGGTGGCCTTGGGTTGTTTTCTGCTCTTTGGTAGGGTTGTTGTCTCTTTGACACATCCCCCCCCCCCCCCCCCCCCCCGTTTCCATTATCCATTTTACATCTATCTATATAATACTTATTACTTACAATAAACAATATGTTGACGATGACAAGTA